TTTATACTTATGTATATTTTTGTATAAACTGTCACATTACTATTCTAGTACGAGAATGAGTGTTCATGATCATAGCTATCTGTAAGTTGTTATTGTTGAAGATCATGTTGAGTTCCCTACTGGACTATATGTTCATCCCACGTTGTTGAATCTTTTTTTTCAGGGGTTTAGCAGGGTGTGCTACAAGATTTGGATCTTCTGATTTGTTGGCCACGGGGCCTCAGTTATGTTGGCGGAATGCCATTGTTGTAAAAGGGTTACACCCTTCTTCTTGTACCTTCAGTGTTGTAAGCCCAAGGGCAATTTATTAAGTATGTTCATGTAATGTTTACTGCATACGAATGAGAGTATTGTTAATCCCTTCTACGGATTGAATGTATGAGTTTATTTCCGCATGTTATCCTTAAAATTGAATCAGGATAATAAATTTGGTAATGACTTCGAGTAATAAAAAGTGGGGCGTGACAACCAAGGTCTCAAAACAGTTCTAAGTACAAAGGTTCAAAGGCGAACTAAGCTCAAGATGACCTGGGCCACACACACACATACCGAACAAGGAACAAAACCACGCAAGCAATACAAACAAAACAAGGCAAGCAAATTCTTCCAATTAACATAACAAGGCAAGATCATGCAGGAATGTATGCAAGTATGACAAGAGTAAGGTGATGGTTGTTACACCTATCTTCCCCTAAACCGTAGAGTACATCCCCTATCTCCTCCAATACAACACAATGCATATAAACAATAATTATACACATCATCATGCAACACATAAGTTTAACGTGTTCTTTCAATCAATCATAATCAATGACTCATTCCAGTGATTAGTTTCCGTTTGCCTAATCATCATGCATTGTCTACAACAATCACGACTATCCTCCACCGATAGCCCAAAGCAGTTATTTCTATACAGTAAATAAATGCAATAAATGGATATAAAATCGACATTTCCAACTAGGTGAGTGACATGAGATCCAACTACACCCTTTAATCCCATGTATTCCCAATCTCAACATTTCTATTTCATAACCTCATTTCTCACAATTAATTAACCCAATTAATCAAACAATGTAATTAGGGCATTCTCCATAATTAACATTACAACCCTTAAGGTCCCATTTTCATCAATGATTCAACATTTATTCCATTTCTCTATGCCAAACATGCATCTAGGTTTATTATAAATAAAACCCCAACTTTTGTAAAATAACACAAAAGCCCCAAAATTTCACCAAATTACCAAACCAACCCCAACATCTCAAAATAC